ACAATTGGAATTAAAACTGAATCTTGTTCTTTTTCTCTTTGGTCCTTCAGATGGTGTTCTTCGTCCTGGCTGAATACGCTAAATCTTTTTCTTTTTCTTCTTGGTTCCTCAGATGGTGTTCTTCGTCCTGGCTGAATACGCTAAATCTTTTTCTTTTTCTTCTTGGTTCCTCAGATGGTGTTCTTCGTCCTGGCTGAATACGCTAAATCTTTTTCTTTTTCTTCTTGGTTCCTCAGATGGTGTTCTTCGTCCTGGCTGAATACGCGATGACGCCCAACCCGAAGCAGGCGGCGCTCTACTTTCTCTTCTTCTACACCGTCCTTGTCTACTTACACAAGACGCTCTTCGTTAGTATCGAGTCGGGGGCGTGACGTGGCGAGAATGTGAATAAGTGGGGAAGGGGGGGGGGGTGAATTCGGGGATGTTGCAGGCTTGTTTTGACTTGCAGATGCAGAGTGAGTGGGGTTTTATTTCAGAGTCACGTGTGTAGGCACAGGAGGGATAGCATACGCACACACACACTTACATATGCATGCACACACACACACACCTACATATGTACATATACACACCTACATATGCACTAACACACACACACACACACACACACACACACACACACACACACACACACACACACACACACACACACACACACACACACACACACACACACACACACACACACACACACATACATACACATACATACACACGCACACACATACACACACACACACACACACACACACACACACACACACACACACACACACACACACACACACACACACACACACACACACACACAACAACGCACACACACACACACACACACCACACACACACACACACACACACACACACACACACACACACACACACACACAACACACACACACACACACACACGCGTCACAAGCACATGCGCTTCCAAAACGGCAGATTTTTTTTTGTTTTTTACGCCCGCGCTAATACTCCCAAATCCACACTTTCTCTCACCCAGACATGAAGCAAATGGATAACGTTAGCAATGGCGACAGCTGTGTACATTTTACACATATATTAACGTATGCAAATCACCACAGTGCTCTAAATGTCACTTCCCCTTCACAGTTTTACGAAGATAAATAAACTGCGACAGACGATATTCCATCAGCAAACATCTATTTTTCCCTCTAAAGTCCTCCGTTCTGGTAACACTTTTTTTTTTTTTTTTTTTTTTTTTTTTTTTTTTTTTTTTTTTTTTGAATGGGAGCGGAAGCGATGCGAGAAACTCCTTGTTTATAGCTTCCTGGCCGATAAGAAAACGTCAAAGGTCAAGTTAGATTTGTTAAGTCCAAGCGCCGTTTCGTTCCTAATTGCTGGTCAAATATACAAACAAAGGCCAATTTCCGGTTAACTCGTAAATAAGTAAATTCCCAAAGAAATTCCCCAGAGAACGCTAATCCAAAATGGCGTCGAAGTAAGAGGGGGAGAGAGAAAGAGAGAGAGGAAGAGAGATAGAGGGAGAGGGAAGAGAGAGGAAGAGAGATAGAGGGAGAGGAGGAAAAGAGATGGAGAGAGAGAGAGAGAGAGAGAGAGAGAGACTAATAGAGATAGGTGAAGGAAGGAAGGGAGAGAGAGTGACTAAAGGTGCTGTCATACTAGCACTTTTTCCGTCAACTTTTGACAATTTTATTTGACATAAATACAAACATATAGCTCTTGATTTGACTCTGCTTGGCTGAAAAAGTTGACGGAAAGGTTTTCAGACGGAAACGATTATCGTCTAACTGGAAAATCGACAATTCGCTCAAAAATGGACAAAATTTCAGAAATTTTACAAAAAATTGACGGTAAAAGTGCTAGTGTGACAGCACCTTAATGTTAAGATATGTTAAGGAAGAGAGAGAGAGAGAGAGACCGAGAGAAAGAGAGAGCGAGAGAAAAAAAAAGAAAAACGAAAAAAAAAAAAAAAAATTCACACCCTTCGACCCCTCCAGAGACGACAATGGGGCCAAAACCTCAACTCGACGAACATTCGAGACTTCCTGAGGCTCACCGCGTGGTACATGGCGGTGCGACTGGGCAAGGGCGTGGCGCTGTCTTTCATCTTGGTTATGTTCACCGTGGAATTCCGTCACGGCGAACCACAGCTGTCTTATATCGCCGTGACCTTCGTGTATTTCTCAGTCACCCAGCACGGGACATGGGAAGGGCGATCCTTTTTATTCTTTTTTTTCTTTTTTTTTTTTCGTTGTTGTTGGTAATCTTCTAAGTTTTCTTGGAGTTATCTTTGTTATTATATCTATTATAATGATAGTGTATATATAGTATAATATATGTATATATGGTATATATATATAGATATATGTATATATATATATATATATATATATATGGGTATATGGGGGGTAAGTACTGTAGCTAAAGAAAGGTGTAACTTTTTTCTCCATCTTAATCTGGTATATTCATTACTGATATTATTGTCCTCTTTGGTATCTTTTATGTCCTCTTTTTATCTTAATATAATCATCCTCATTAGTGACATTATTATCATCTTTTATCTATTGGAAGGAGGATTTACTTACTTAAGTACGGGGTTTTAACTCAGTTACTTAAGGAAGAGAGGCTTTACTTATTTACCAAAGAAAGGGAGGTTTTACTGAAGCAAGGAAGTTTAACTTGTTGACATAAGCAGGGAGGATTTTCCTTAAGCAAGGGGATTAAACTTTTTACTGAAGCAAGGAGGTTTAACTTGTTTACTTAACCAAGGAAGATTGTCCTTACTTAAGCAAGGGGATTAAAGTTTTTACTTAAGGAGGGGAACCAACTCCTGAGGAAAAGAGGAAAAATACCTTTAGGAAGGAATGAGGAAAGAGGAAAAAATAACCAGGAATGAGAGAGGAAAGAGAAAATTAACTTCAGGAAGGAGTGAGGAAAGAGAGAAATAATTTAGGAAGAAGGAATGAGGAGAGAGAATAATAATTTCAGGAAGAAGGAGTAAGGAAAAATGGGAAAAGGAGTGAGGAAAAAGGGGAAAATAACTGAGGAAAAATGGTAAAATAACTAGGAAGGAGTGAGGAAAGGGAAAAATAATTTTAGGAAGGAGAGAGGAAAAAAGGATAAATAACACTGGGAAGGAATGAGGGAAGAAAAAAAATAACTTCAGGAAGGAATGAAGAGAGAGAGAAAAATGCCTTCAGCAAGGAATGAGGAGAGAGAAAAAAATAACTTTAGGAAGAAGGAATGAGGAGAGAGAAAAATAACTTTAGGATGAAGGAATGAGGAGAGAGAAAAAATGACTTTAGGAAGAAGAAATGAGGAGAGAAAAATACCTTCAACAAGGAATAAGGAGAGAGAGAAAAATGACTTTAGGAAGAAGGAATAAAGAGGGGGAAAAAGCTAACTTCTGGAAGAAGGAATGAGGAGAGAGAGAAAAATAACTTTAGGAAGAAGGAATGAGGAGAGAAAAAATGACTAGGAGAGGGAATGAAGAGAGAAAAAAATAACCAGGAAGAAGGAATGAAGAGATAGAGAAAAATTGCTTTGGGAAGAAGGAATGAAGAGAGAAAGAAATATAACTTCACGAAGAAGGAATGAAGAGAGAAAGAAAAATAACCTCACGAATAAGGAGTGAGGAAAAATGTAAAAAATAACTAGGAAGAAGTGAGGAAAGGGGGGCGGGGTGGATAAAGAGAGACGCATCTAACGCTGTCAATGTGTGTGGATTTTCAAGCCTTTTGCAAGTTGCAAGTGCAATCACGCGCGATTGATCACTGCCACAGGCTGTTAAATAAAAATGTGTGTGTGTGTGTGTGTACGTGTGTGTGTGGGGTGTGGGTGTGGTGTGTGTGTGTGGGTGTGGGTGGGTGTGTGCGTGTGTGGGTGTGGGTGGGTGGGTGGGTGGTGGGTGTGTGTGGGTGGGTGTGCGTGTGTGTGTGTGTGCGTGTGTGGGTGTGGGTGTGGGTGTGTGTGTGTGTGTGCATGTGTGTGTTTTGTACGTGTGTGTGTATGCGTGCGTGTGTACGTGTGTGTGTATGTACGTCTGTGTGTGTGTATTTTTTTTGTGTGTGCGTGCATGTGTGTGTGTTTGTACGTGTGTGTGTGTGTGTGTGTGTGTGTGTATGTGTGCGTGTGTGTGTGCGTGCGCTAGTCTCTGGGTCTTTTATTTTGCAATTTAATCCTCTCCCTAGCTCTCCAACCTTGACTTCCCCAGTGTCAGAAAATCTCGTAGATCATACGAGCAAACACGCACGCACATGTCTATATAACTAGATAACTAACTATGTGCGTATATGTGTGTGTGTGTGTGTGTGTGTGTGTGTGTGTGTGTGTGTGTATGTGTGCGTGTGTGTGTGTGTGTGTGTATTTGTGTGTGCGTGTATGTGTGCGTGTCTGTGTGTGTTCATATGTATATATATATATATATATATATATATATATATATATATATATATATATATATATAATATATATACATATATACATATATATATGCATATGTATGTATGTATGTATGTATTATGTAATGTATATGTATATGTATATACATACATTATATATATATATTGATATTTGATATATTGTGTAATGTACACACACACACACACACACACACACACACACACACACACACACACACACACACACACCACACAACACACACATGCACACACACGCGCGCGCACACACATACACACACGCACACACACACATATTGTATTTTTTCTATTTCTAGATACTTAGATAAAAAGAAACCTTACACGCACCACCTTTCGCTGCCTCCATTGTCGCCAAGCAAACCGTGTTTACCGGACCTTGCACTTCCTCAGTTCTAAACCCTCTTTTAAGCAATGAAAGGAGGCTGTCTCATCTCCTTGTGTCTCTGTATTTTCCAAAAGTCATTATTCGACAGTTTACCTTAAGCAGGAAGACGAAAATGAAAAGAAACGGTGATTGTTTCTCAACCGCCAGCCATAACATCATTGCTTTTGTTTTCCCGCCAAAACGGCAGTGAACGTGACGCCATGACATTGTTTAAAACGTTTTTCTTGCTGAGGAAACTACTTTCAAAAACACTTTGTTAGTGAAATAACTTGGAAAAGCAGGACGGAAATGAGATATTCTGTAAGGTCCATGATTGTCACTGTTATTCTTATATATTTTTTTTTTCTCATAGGTTATGTCTCCTTGGTGTTATTACATCCGCCAAGGTTATGTTTTCGGTAGGGTTAGTTAACTGATTAGCAAGATTACTCAAAAAGTTATAAACAGATTGATTAATTTGTTTATTTTATCTTATTTTATTTTATTTTTACTAGAGCTGTACCTTAGCCTAACTTAGAGGTCATTAGATTTTGGTGGTGAGATCATGCGCAGGAAAATTCAAAGTTATGAAAAGAATCATATGAAATTTTAACGAGAGGTGTGTCTTAGGCCAAATTTGAAGCCGCTAAATTTTGGTATTAGTTTATTTTCTCCACTGATTTATTTATTCATTGTCATCACCATTATCATTCCTGTTGTTGCTGTTAGTCATTGGCCTTATCATTATCGTTATTATTATTACTGTTTGTCTCATCATTATTATCATCATATAACTGTCATTACCGAATTCTTGTAAAACAACCTGCACAAAAAGGACAATAATATCGATGTAAAAAAGATATGACTTCACGATGACAAATTAAAATATTTACATATATACATAATCTATCCGTCACGTTGCCAAACCACACGTGCGAGGATTACAAATATGTTCCTTATCTTGTATTTGAGTTTTATTTTTTTTCTTTCAGGTTGAGAAATTATTCATATTCTTTCCTCATTACGTCCTTTTTCTCAAGTATATTCATGTGTGTTCATAAAGAGAATTAATGACTTTACTTAAACGCAGTCCGTTGAGGATTTAGTTGCCAGTTCGTGTATTTACAAAACACGTGACAGGGTGAGGTTAATTTTTTTTTTTTTTTTTTTTTTTTTTTTTTTTTTTTAAGCGGGTACAGGAATGTACGTAGTTGGGTAGGTAATTATATATAAATCTATTTTTCTGAATTTTAGATTAAGTGGTAAGCTGAAAATAATATGATATAGATATGGAAAGATACGAACGTACACAAAGATTAAACGCATACGCACGCACAGACATAAAAAACACATACGCACATTAACACACACACAAACACACACAAAAAAACATACACGCAAACATGAATTTGTCTTTCTGATGTTACATGAACTGATAAATGGGAAATAATGAGGATATATAGATATAGAGCGATATGAATGTACACATAAACACAACACGACAGACACACTCACAAATGTACATATGGAGTAAAAACACACACAAATATGAAGCGATACGAATGTACAGAGTAAAACACACACACACAACACACACACACACACACACACACACACACACACACACACACACACACACACACACACACACACACACACACGCAAGATAATAAAATCCGTTTTGAGACGTTAGTATTTTTAGCAACGACATCCGGGGCTGTGAGGTTAGTCCAAACAAAAAACAAAAGACTGTAATCAAGTGAATAACTTTATAGAATTCGAGTCTGTGAAAGCGATTCGATTCCGGGATAATTTAATAGGCCATTAATCCGAACTCTGAAGAGGGCATAACGAAGCTTATTTTAGGTGTGAATAAGGGTGATTATAGTATGAATGCTAGGAATGATATTTTCGGTGTTTTCTGATGATTATGATGATAGGGATTATAGGGATAATGGTAGTGATAATGATGATAATGATAATATGATGATGATATGATATAATGATGATGATGATGATAATGCTACTGATAATGATAAATAATGATGATAATTAATACTACCAATATAATAACAACCAGAAAGATGATAATGATGGTAATGATGATAATGATGTTGAAAACGATAATGATGATAGCAATCACTACCAAAATAATAACCAGAGAAAAATGATGATGAATGATAATGACGATAATGATGACAACGATAATGATAATGGTAATTACAACCAAAATAGATAATCAGAAAGAGAAGATATATCGTGCAGAAAAAAAGATAACTGTGTGTCTGACGTAATGTGTACACACGTGTAGGATTTTTTTTTGTGACACGAACGCACACGCACGCACATACCACAATGATATTTGCTGATAAAAGCACTTCATTTGAGAGGCTTCTGTGCACGAGATTTTGCCGGAAATCAAACTTTTTTCTTTGCATATTTTCATGAATATTTTTTTGCGTTTTTTCTCAATTGGTTATTAATTTATTCATATATCGTTGAAGTGGTTTGACGGTATACATTTGTGTTTCTTTATAAATCTATTTAGTTCACGTTGATTATGTTTAATTCTACTTATTTTTTTTTCTTTCTAAAATTGAAAACAAAATCTTCACACACAAAAAATTTGACTTACGAACGCAGAAATTGTAGTTCAAGCCGATGACGTCATCGTAGGCGGGAAACCATGATGAGATGCGCAGGTTTCGA